AAAAAAAAATCATAAATAAAATTAAAAAAAAATTTTTTTTTAAATGAGCCAGCAAGGGGTGTAGCAGTTAAAGCACTGGACTCACACATGACTGCCACGGTTTAAGTCCCAGACCCAGCGGTTTGAAACTCACACCAGGTACATGTGTGCATGGGCCCCAAATCCTGAGAGAATAGAGAAGGGATTGTGGTGTGGTCATCCCTCGTGGGAAGTGACTTTTCACTTTCTTTCTTCTCTCTCTCCAGTGAGCACACATGCCTTATAGTAAAAAATCTCTCAAAAAAACCCCTTAAAAACTCAAATGAGTGCAACCTCTTTGCAGAAAACAAAAGTTACACACAGAAAGCTAGATATACCACCTAAAACTTATCAAATTAATCCAGTGCAGGCCAAGAACCAAAATTATTGTAAAATCCATTCCCCTTTTTCTTCTTTTTGAGAGGTTTTTGCTATAGGGCACATGTGCTCGCCAGAAAGACAGAGAGAGAGAGACAAAGACAGAAAGCGAGAAACCAACCCCCTAGGGGATGGCCACGCCACAATCCCTTCTCCTCCATTCTCCTCTCAGGATCTTGGGCACACACACACCTGGCATGAGTTTAAGCCACTGGGTCTGGGACTAGAACTGTGGTCGACTACATGGGAATCCAGCAACATAGCCATTATACCAACTGCTGGTCCCCTCTCCTACTATTTAATCTGGTTTTCATTACCCTTTTGTTAATCTCTCTTTTTTTGCCAGAAAAGCTGAAAATATTAATATTCAGTTTCTATTCTCTCTACAAGGAGATTTCAAAACATTTATGAGAACATGGAATTAAAGTATGTGTTTATTTTGGTGCCAAAAAACTGAAATCCATGCATGGTTTTTCACAATACATATTTTCCATGAAACTTTTGAAAACTCCCTTGTACTTCCGCCTGGCCTTCCTCCCTCCAATTTACGACAAGAATGTACTTGATGCTTTATCATTTTATCCAATAAAATGCTGTATGTGTTGAAAGATGTTTGCAGAAAAATATAGTATTTTACTTATCGAAAAAATTTTTTTCAAAGGTCTCACATATTACTGAACCAACCCACCAATACAGAACTTAGAAACAAAGTGAAGCATCGTTTTTTCCAATAAAACACCCCAAGTGTCCAGGCAGAGGTGACTGGTTTCAGCTTGTGTGCCAAGACCACAGTGACCTTGGTACGGCATAAACCAGGGACCCTCTCCTGTCCAGTACTTCACAGACCCAGCGTGGTTCTTCTCCAGTGTCTCCTCTTGGAGTTGTACCTGATTTTATTACCAGTTTCATTCAAATCCACTGAGAAATGGGATGATTTTACTTCTGCTTAGCCAGAAACCGCTTGATTCTGAAAGCTTTGTGAGAAGACTTGGCAAAAAACACGTGGATCACATACACCACGACGGCGGAGAAAGGAAGACTACTTATCAAAATCTAGCTTACTTGCAACCCCCCTCCAAAATCCACACTTAAACAGAATCTTATGCATCACAGATAATATATTCAACCTTTCTATCTGAAAACCATGTAACTTTTCTAAGAGAAAGTTGAGAACCTGAAATTTCACAATATTGACACAGATAGTAAAGAACGTTTACTGTAGCTGATTGTTACTGATATTTAAAATCAGAATATTTCAGAAAATTAAGAAATCAGAACAAATGACTTGTGTATTGTCTACAAAACCTTAAGGAAAGAGATGGAGCTCTCCTCATTTGAAAATCTGAAATCCAAAACGTTCCAAAATCTAAAACCTTGAGTTCCAACATAATGCCACAAATAGAAACTCACACGCCTTGTCTCTTGCAACAGGTTGCCTGTCAAAATACTACAATACAGAAAGTGTATAAAATTACCTCCACACTAGGTGCCTATGGTGTATATGAAACATGAATCAATTTCGTGCTTAGATCTGGGTTCCATTTCCAAGGATGTCTCATTATGTGTATGCCAAGTCCAAAAAACTCAAAAAAAAAAAAAAAAAGATAATTCATGACACTTCTGATACTAAGCATTTCGGATAAGAGATACTCACCCTGTTTACCTGTTTTTAAATACCTATTTCAGTGCCAGCCCGTGGCGTGGTAGTTAAGACTGCTGGATCCCACATGGCTGACTGGGTGGTTCGCATCCCAGATGAGCCACTTCAAAAACATGCCCAGTGGGGAACCAGCAGTTAGCGTAATGGCTATGTCGCTGGACTCCCACGTAGTCGACCGCAGTTCATGTCCCGGACCCGGTGGCTTAAAACGCACACCGGGCGCGTGTGCGTGAGTGCCCAAGATCCCGAGAGGAGAATGGAGGAGAAGGGACTGCGGCGTGACCATCCCCCCTGGGGGGTGATTTCTCGCTTTCTGTCTCTATGTCTCTCTCTGTCTGTCTGGCAAGCGCACGCACCCTACGGTGAAAATCTCTCAAAAAAAAAATAAATAAATAAATAAACATGCCCAGTGCACTCATGTACCTGAGTACTCAAAATCCTGAACAGAAGGAGAGACGGAGAAGGGACTGCATAGTGACCTTCACATAAGACAGGTGCTTTCTCATTCCTGACTAGCTAGTGCACATTCCCTCTGACAAAACTAAAAAAAAAAAGAAGAAGAACAAAAAATACATGCTCGCCAAAATACAAATTAATTTTAGTGAATAAAGCTGCAGTATCTAATATTTAAGTTACGATGTATGTAGCAAGTCCAGCCATTTTATCTTTAAAACATTATTTGCATTTCAAGCTTCCAACTCAAGGTATGAGAAGAACAACCTTTCAAGGATGTTTTTTAAATCCTAGAATACCCTTCAACTTCTAACGTCTTCTACTTTACTTCTAGTATTCTACTCTTATTTCCTTGACCTACCCACTCATCCCAGTACTGTTGCCTGTCCATACTGCTATATCTGAAACTGCAGTATTCTTATCCTGTTGAATCACTAAAACCAGCATCTCTCTGACCCCAAGGTAGGGCAGCAGTAAATATGTTGGAATAAGCATTTCATGTGAAAATTAACCCAGTATTTCCACCCACGAGTAAATGCAGCTAATATACTAGTGACCATTTCTTTTCTTTTTATTTCTTTTTTTTTTTTTTTCAGGTTTGGACATAGGGCCCCTGTGTTATCTGAAGAGAGACAGAGAGAGGGAAAGTGAGAAATCACCCCCGAGGGAAGGCCATGCTGCAATCCTCCATTCTCCTAGGATTTTGGAACCTGCCACACAGGTGCCCCAGGTGTGATTTGCAGGCCACCAGGTCCAGGGCTCCAACCAGTAGGCCATGTGGGAGTCCTGGGCCTAACCTACACCACCTGCTGTCCTCACACTAGTGACCTTTCTAGATGTCTGGATTCCACCTGTTTTTACACGGTCTAAGTAAGTACCAATGCCATCCCGGCATTAACACACAAACCAAGCCCTAACTGCTCCAAGAACTTCCAAGTTTGAACTTGTTTCCAAAAAAGCAACTACCGCGGGAGTCTTAACGACTACCACACATCAAATGCCAAGTGTTTTTTTTTTTTTTTTCCAAATCCAGCAGAGATATTCCAGTTTTCTCCATCGCTTTTATGTGCACATGTAATTTTTCTTCTCAGATAATTAACACCTTGAAGGCAGAGACCTGTTCTACAGGCTGCAAAACCCCAAGGATTGGGACAGCTCCCGGCATGTCCAAGGTGTGTGCACCAGCTCGAACCATCAAAAGCACCAACGAGAGGTTGGGTATACATTGTTTCACTTGGTCCTTCCTACCACCGCAAGACGCAGTTACTGTATCATCCTTATTTTACTCGTGATAGAATGAGACCCGCAAAGGATAAGCCCAAGTCACACAGAGCAAAGGGGCAGAAACCAGGGCTCCAAGCCCGAGCAGTTTAGTGGCAAACACTCTCAGCGAGTACCCACGCGGGCTCCCACTTTCCTTGTGGTCACCACGGACTCTCCTTTCGCTTGTACACACAAGAGGCTCGAACCGGGTCCTGAACTCGGGCAAGTCTCTGGACATGCGACAGGCCTCCCGCGAGGCTGGCCACACCTCGCCCCACCTGCCAAGTTTAGACCACGCGGAACGAACCGGAGGGTTTGCAGCGCGAAGGGTGATGCGGGATGGGAGACCTGGCTCGTGGAGACCCAGGGAGGACCTCCCGTCCCCTCCACGCGGGCGCCGGGTCGAACATCCAGCCCAGCGAGAAGCCGACCTTGCCCGTCCAGACTCCGCAGCGACGCCAGCGAAACGGCCTTTGCTGCTCCCAACCCCGCGAACCGCCCGCGCTGCGGGGCGCCCGGTTGATACAGAGAGCGGAGGCCAAGCCCTGGACCGACGCACCTCGGACAGACCGGGGAAGGCCGGCTCTCCAGACCCTTGAACGGCAGCGGAAGCTCCTCCAAGGCTCAGCTGCAGATGAGGCGGAGAGATAGGCTCGGCCGGTTTCCTCCACGCAACCAGGAAGGAAGACGCCAAGAGCAGCGGTTGCCAGCCGGGTTGCATTAAGTGTGACATTGCTCCTCGCCCCGCCTCTTCCCGTGGTTGCCCCAAGGCACTTCCGGTGACGGCGGTGCCCCTTTCGCGGTAGGCGCGAGCGGCCCCGGGCCTGTCGCTGTCTCTCGCAGCCCGGCATCAGCGAGTCCTCCCTGCTCTTGGTCCCCAGCAGCGTCGCGGAGGCCCGGGCGGTGGTGGAGACATGTGCTGCGAGAAGTGGAGCCGCGTGGCCGAAATGTATCTCTTCATCGAGGACCGGGAGGAGGATTGTAAAATCCTCTGCCTCTGCTCCAGGGCGTTTGTGGAGTAAGTAGAAGCGTGTGTCCCTTCATTTCCAGCACGGTCGTTGCCCAGCAGTGGAGGCGGTGCACGTGTCGTTGTATGTGATCCTCGAGGCCAGGCAGAAAACTAACCCTCGGGCAAGGTGATTTGTAGGAAAACGAAAAAGAAAAACGCTCAGTCTTTACGGAGTGGTCGCTACTGCCGTTATTAGTAATTGAAGGACAGTCTACATGGTAGAGTGCTACGAAAAAGTGTGGTAGCTGATGTGTTCGTGTTGGTTCGAGTCTGTCCGTCGCAGCAAAGAATGGCAGGACAAAAAACTCTTGAGTACGGTTTCATTGAGAGAGACGCGTCCCGCCGACGGATCCGGCCAGTGACAGGAGAGGCAGGCCGGTCCAGCCTCCCCCTTTTAGGTCCTCTATTCATCTAAAATATGTGCCTCTTATTTATTTATTCATTCCTCATTATTGTTTTTTGTAAGTGTCAAGCTGCAGGGAGTTATTTTTTTTCCTTTTTTTTTTTGGAGAGTTTTTCTTTTTTTTTTTTTTTTTTTTTTTTTTTTTTATCCTTCGGTTTCCAAACAAACAAGAAGGGAACAATCACCCCCCAGGGGGGATGGCCACGCCGCAATCCCTTCCCCTCCATTCTCCTCTCGGGATCTTGGGCACGCACGCACGCACACGCACCTGGCGTGAGTTTAAGCCACTGGGTCCGGGACTCGAACCGCGGTCGACTACATGGGAGTCCAGCGACATAGCCATTACGCTAACTGCTGGTCCCTGCAGGGAGTTATTTTTGAGTTAGACGGATGGATGTCACAATACCATTGGTCATATGGCCCTTCCTTAAAGTTTCTTTGTGCTCCAGGCTAGTTTCCTGATCTCTCTGCCTAACCAAGCTTATCCCTAACAGCTCCTAACAGGTGTAATAAGTTAAGGGAGCATCTAAAAATTGGGGGATGATAAAATGTAAAATGGAATTTCCGATGGATGTGACATCCATCTTAAGGTGAAAGTTGAGTGACTGGTTTTGTTTAACATCTTTTTCAAAACATTAAAATCTGTTCCAGCTCCAATACACATGAATAGAGACTGAAGCCATTTGAGATAAGAGGCTTAAAACTGTATCAGTTTTCCAGAGATGTCTTTATTTTGAGGGAAGTTTTTGTTTCAAGTAGAAATCGTCATGCATGGAAAATAACCAGTACATAGGGGAAAAAAGAATTAGAGAATAGAATTCTGAGGATTGTCTTTTTTATATTATGGATAAATGCATGAGTTAAACCACTTAAATCTTTTTCATCTCGGTACCAGCAGTTAGCATAATGGCTATGTTGCTGGGCTCCCGTGTAGTTGATGGCGGTCTGAGTTCCAGACCCAGTGGCTTATACTCACTTGGGCGCTTGTGCATGCGTGCCCCCAAGATCCCGAGAGGGGAATGGGGATCGCGGTGTGGCCATCCCCCCTGGGGGGGGGTGATTTCTCGCTTTTTGTCTTTCTGTCTCTTTCTGGGGAGCGTATATGCCCTATAGCAAAAACCTCTCAAAAAATCTTTTTTATCTCCAACACAGTATACTTACCCTAATTTCACACATGCCTAATGTTAGACTGAAATCTGTGTGAAAGTGAAGAAATGTGATAGGTTTTTAATATAGTTTAATGTAGTAGAATTTAAGTTTGAGGAGTTATTTTTTTACTGTGTGATTATGCAGTGATCCAAAAATTAATCCAAAAAGAAATTAGTCATTACATTATATTTAATGTAAAAATCATCATTGCCTCTGTAGTCAGGCATGTATGTTATTGTGCGTTCAATCAGTGAGTGCTTTCTGTGCTCCCGTGGATCGAGTACAAGCACTTCGGACTTAACGACCTGCCTGTGCAAGGGTAGGTGGCACTGCTCAGACCTGCAACCTGAAATGTGCCCTGTCTATGTGAATCCTAGGAATCTCAGTCTTCTTTCCTTCCACAGTCTGCAGCCCTGTGGTATGACTACACAAAGCATTTGCAGTCATGGAGGACTACATATTTTGTTTACAAATTTGTACTTTATTATGTACAAATAGTAATTTTCAGAATAAATAAAAACTGTTACACCGGATTTATGTTGTGTTGTCTCTTTCCGGGCTTACCTAATGTATGCTTGTTGTAGGAATAGAATTACATTATTCTAGTGTGGTATCACGGGATACCTATTGGAAAGTACGTACTCCGTGATGCCACAACGGAGCACAAGATATTCATCTTTATGCTCCTCGCTTATCGACCAAATTTATTTAATGGCCTAGTCGTGGGAACGTAACTCGGTCATTACGTGCAGCACGTACGCTGTGAGGCGCTGGAGTACAAGACAGAGGCTACCAGAGGAGATCAGTATTAAGGCAGCTGGCTCATAATAACGTGGTTAAGTATAGTTACAAACGCTGTGAGCGAGGTGTGCAGGATGCTGCGATAGAGAACAACCTTTCCCAGGGTCACAGAAGTTTCTCAGAGGAAGTAGCCTTTGGAAAGAATTCTAAAGTAAAACTGTGGTCCCAGTGAGAGGAAGCATCCCCAGTAGGTTGAACTCTGTGTAAAAGATCTTGAAAGAGCAAAAGAAAACCCAGAACACTGAATAAAATGACTGAGAAAGGAAGATAGAGATAGCGTGGGTGGGGGAGTGAGGGTTCAAACATAGGACCATAGACATTCCTGACTTGAGATGGTTTGACTTCGGATTTCCCGATTTTACAATGGTGCAGAAGCATTCTGTAGAAACAGTGCTTCATTTTGAAGTTTGATCTTTTCCTGGCTAGCAATATGCAGTAGGATACTCTGTTGTGATACTGGCCCACATCCCAGTCAGCCCCATGATTATGAAGGTTAAACCCCAGTACTCCCCACCATACTGTGTTGCTAGATGATTTTGCATAACCGTAAGCTGATGTAAGTGTTCTGAGCACATTTATGGTAAGCTAGGCCAAACTATGCGGTTTGGTAGGATAGGGGTATTAAATGCATTTTCAACTTACGGTATTTTTTTTTTTTGGAGAGATTTTCACTGTAGGGCGCGTGTGCTCGCCAGACAGACAGAGAGAGACATAGAGACAGAAAGCGAGAAATCACCCCCCAGGGGGGATGGTCACGCCGCAGTCTCTTCTCCTCCATTCTCCTCTCGGGATCTTGGGCATGCACGCACACGCGCCCGGCGTGAGTTTTAAGCCACCGGGTCCGGGACACTAACCGCAGTCGACTACGTGGGAGTCCAGTGACATAGCCATTAAGCTAACTGCTGGTTCCCAACTTACGGTATTTTTCAACTTAGGATGAGTTTACCAGAGTGTAACCCCATTATAAGTCAAGGAGGATCTGTTACGTTGTCAGGAAAGTTATGACCTGTTTTTCTTTGCAAAAATGATTTTTTTTTTTCCAGAATATTGGAAAACCTTCAATTGGGGAATGACATGATCAGATTTGCATTTTTTGAAGTTTAATTCTTTGGAGAGAGACAGATATAGCATCCCTAACAGGACCCTCGTGCCACAATCCACCCCAGGCTCAGCCAGCCCACATCAGGGGTATATCCACTCGGCACATAAAGAGAAATCCTGGGACACAGGAGACCGTCTGTGGATATCGTTGCATTGCCATTGTGCTGCTTCTGCCCCCCAGGTGCACGTTTCTAAAAGAGTTCGCTGGCAGCAATGTGGAGTATGGTTTAGAGGAAGAACCACTTAAGATCATGGTCCATGCAGGAGATTATGTTGGGATTATGATAGGTGACTGGAGAAAGGATGAGACAGAAAAACAATTGGGGTCGAGAATTGGAGGAAAATGAAAAACTGTAAGATAGGAAGAAAGAGATGGGATCAAGGATAACTCCCTGGTTTCTGGCATGCTTTGCTGCCTCTCACTGAGAGAGAGCACTGGAGAATCATGGGTTTTATTTGGGGGCAGCAGTGAAGCGATCATGAGTTCCATCTTTTTTTTTTTTTTTTTTTTTTTAAGTTTATTTCTTCCATGAGCAAGAAACAAACTACCTCCAAAAGGGTCTGAATGCCCATAATCTGGTCACAGCCTCAGCTGGCCCCAGATCATGGGCCTGCGCATACCTATGTACTCAGGTGACATCTCTGGGTGTGAACACCGAACTCTCCCTTCCGAGTCAGCCTCACACAGCAGAGAATGCTGCTGTGCCACCTAGTTCAATTCTGCACATTATGATTTAGGGGTTCTTGTGAGATAGCCCAGGATAGATGACACAAGTAGCTGGATATGTCCGTTTAGAATTGACTAAAAACTGAGGCATACTCATTTAGATAGTCATCAAGCCATTCATTGTGGGGTGAGGAGGGTAAGATCTGTCCTTGGGGAATCCTTTCATTCTTTTAAAGACAGAAGAAAAAGATAGATGAACTGGGAAATAGAAGACAATCCAAGTATATGCATTTTAATGAAGGCGTAATCAACCTAGGAAAGCCACTAAAACACAAGCAAAATGAGGGCTAAAAAATACCTACTGGAATTGGCAAAATCCCCTGGATTGAGTCCTGACAATTAAGTGCTACCACTAGTGTCTTACATCTTGTTCTGACAGACTTTTTCCTTGATGAAATGTGACACAGGCTCCTCTGAGCCCTCTGTTGGATGGCTTTGTCTTCGGCCTGCCTGGCCCAATTGTAGTTTAGCAGGACTCCCCTCACTCTTGCTGTTTTCTCTGTTATTTCCACTCACTGACCCCTTATTCAGTTCTTTGGCTGTGTATTTCCAGCTGTCTTTGTTGTTTTACGAGTTGAGCCAGAGTTCTCTCCTCTATTGCCATAATCTTGATACCTATCACAATATTCCTTTCTATTTAACAATTGTCATAATCATTTTTTCTTTAAGAAAAAAAATGTGTTTTCATTTAAGTCTTTCATCGGCCCCTAAGTTATATCTTGTTATCCTTATTGTATTCCGAAAGAACATTTGAGTCTCAGGCCGACTTGTGCCACAGTGCTAATGTGCAGCTCGAGAGAGGCTAGACCCAACGGGGCAACCATGGTT